GGGTTCAATCCCAAGTACCTCTTCCCCATCCCCCCCAAAAAAGTCTTAATCAATTTCTGTTTTCTTGATTATTTTTTTCAAGTTGAACAAACCCAGTTCATAAGAAGGGTTAGGGATGTAGCTCAGTGGTAAAGCACCCCTGGATTTAATCCCTAGTACCAAACAAAGGAAGAAAGAAGGAAGTAGCTAGATATTAGTCTGACTCACTGTTCAACAGACTTCCTCAGAAACAAGGTGCTTGCTGAGTAGGTTGATCATTGTCACGTACATAGGTTTTCTAGTTTGGGAGAATTTGTTATTCCCACATCAGCCAAATATGACAAATTGTCAGTACAACTTCCTGCCCCTGGGCACCCCCATGAAGTGCTTCCAGGTGAATTGTCCTTGTGCCATGATATCAATGTGGCGAGCCCTGCAGTTGCCAATTTGAATAGTTTCCTTCTTGGCAAGACAACTTCACTAGTTTTTTTAATAGTGTATCTCTAATATCGAGTTGGCCCATAAATTGTTTGGGTAATGTTTACTTTTTGCTGGAAAGTATGGATTGTTAGAAAGATTCCAGCCCTGGATGCCTGTTCCTGCCCCTTGTGGGAGTTAGAATACGGCAGAAGAGGCACAGTGACTGCAGTATCCATGACAGGCTTTGCATCGTGGGCGATGCATTTGTATTGTTCATCTCACAGGATGAGCTCAATCAACCCTTTGTTTTTCTCTTTCAATACTGAGGATTGAACCCAGGGTGCTCTACCACTGAGCTACACTCCAGCCCTTATTTTCTATTTTGAGACAAGGTTTTGCTAAGATGCCAGAAGCCCTTGAACTTGGGATCGTCCTGCCAGCCTGTTGCAAATGCTCAGCAGATATTTGTTGAGTGAATATATTAGTTGAATGTACTATAATCACATAATATCACAGGTGGGTTCCCAAGACCCAATTTCCCATTTATGTAAAGAGAGAGATTTATTTTGCTTTAAAATGAGACAGGTCAAGCTGGGTGTGGTGGTGCATGCTTGTAATCCTAGTGGCTTGGGAGGCTAAGGCAGGAGGGTCACGAGTTCAAAGCCGGCCTCAGTAACTTATTGAGGCCCTAAGAAACTTAATGAGACTCTTTCTATAAATAAAATACAAAAAAAACATGTTGGGGGTGTGCCTCAGTGGTTGAGTGCCCCTGAGTTCAATCCTCAGTACAAAAAAAAAAAGACATAATAAGTATGGAGACATGCCATGTTGATGGATTTAAAAGAACCAGCCAGTGAAGATTCCGGTTCTTCCCATATTGACCCATGGGTTTAAAACAGGTGTAATCAAATTCCGAACAAGACCAGGTGGGAGGCGCACACCTGTAATCCTAGTGGCGCAGGAGGATCGCAGGTTCAAAACAAGCCTCAGTGAAAACTCAGTGAGACCCTGTCTCTAAATAATATTCAAAATAGGGCTGGGGATGTGGCTCAATGGTCCAGTGCCCCTGAGTTCATTCCCCAGTAAACCAAAAAATAAAAAATTCCTAACAAGATTTTAAAAATAAAATTTATATGGAAAAGCAAAGGACAAGAACAACCAAAAGAATTTTGAAAAAGGATAAAGTTAGGGTTGGGGTTGTGGCTCAGCAGTAGAGCACTTGCCTAGTATGTACGAGGCCCTGGGTTCGATCCTCAGCACCACATTAAAAATAAAAATAAAGATGTTGTGTCCACCGAAAACTAAAAAATAAATATTAAAAAGTTCTCTCTCTCTCTAAAAAATAAATAAATAAACAAAATAAAGGTATTGTGTCCAACTATGTCTAAAAAATAAATGTTTTTTTTTTAAAGGATAAAATTAGAAGAATCACATTGTGTGATTTTAAGACTTAACCATAAAACCACAGTAATAAAGCTGAGGTAATAAACTGTGATATTGGCAGAGAGACACACAGATCAGTAAAATAGTGGAGTCTGGAAATAGACCCATATAATGTGGCCAGTCAACTTTGACAGACAAACAAAGGTAATTCAGTGGAGGAAGGCTAATCTTTTCAACAGATGGTGTTGGGATAATTGGATATCATGTGCAGGAAAAAAAAATGAACCTCAAGCTCCTAGTTTCTACACAAATTATTTCAAAATACATCACAGATCTGTAAGATGTAAAACTAAAAACTTTCAGAAGAAAACAGAAGATCTTTTTGACCCGAGCCTGAGCAAAAAGTTCTTAGGACTCCAGAAGTGTGAACCATGAAAGGAAAAAAATTGGTGAGATGGATACCATCAAACTAAAGCCTGCTCTGCAGAAGACACGGCTGAGGGAGTGGAGTGAACGGCTTCTGACTGGGAATTTATTTATTTATGTATTTATTTATTTTTGGTACCGAGGATTGAACTCAGGGGCTCAGTCACTGAGCCACATCCTCAGCCCTATTTTGTATTTTACTTAGAGACAGAATCTCACTGAGTTGCTTAGCACCTTGCTATTGCTGAGGCAGTAAAAACTCAAAAAACTCAATAGTTAAGGAAACTCCATTAAAAGGGGGCTTAAGGCTCAGATGCTTGAGCAGAGAGACAGGTGGCAAATAAGCACATGAAACTCAACATCATTGACCTTGAGGGAAGTTTGAATTAAAGCAGGAGGAGCGCCTGCAGCCTCCTGGAAGTCCAAAACAACAAATGAAACCACACAGCGGGGAGGGGGAAGTGCAGCCAGTACAGCCACTCTGGAGGACCGCTTGGCAGAGTCTGATAAACACACATTCACCGTATGACTCATCAGTCCCACCCCTGGGTATTTACCCCAGAGAACCAAATGTGAATGTTTATAGCAGCACTGTTAATGATCACTAAACCCTGGAATCAGCCCTGTGCCCTCCGGTGGATGAGTAAGTAAACATCCACTGCTCAGAGAAGGTCTGCAGCATGAGGAGCAGCTGTGGGTGTGCACAGGAGCACACACAGGGGTCTCGGGCATGGTGTGGATGAAAGAAGCCAGCCTCAGAGGGCACTGGATGCACGCCCATAATCCCAGCCACCCAGTAGGCTGAGGCAGGAGGATGGAGGATGGCAAGTTCAAGGCCAGCCTTGGCAGCTTAGTGACACCTTATCTCAAAATAAAAAGAAAGGTGGGGCCCTCCTCTGGGAATGTAGCTCAGTGGTAGTGAAATACTGTCTCAAAAAATAAAAAGGAAGAGGGGGTGGGAGGTGGCTCAGTGACAGGGCATCCCTGGCATCAATCCCTAGTACAGAAGGGAACGTGAATGTACACTGCATGATTTCACTTACATGCTTTATTTTGTTTTGTTTTTTCCTTGTACTGGGGACACACATAATACACAGGTATTCTACCACTACTTCAACCCTTTATTTTTTCGAGACAGGGGTCTCACTGTTGCGCCAGCTGGCCTTGAACTTGGGATCTTCCTGCCTTAGCCTGCCAAGTTGCTGGAATCAGGGGCATGCACCACTGTGCCCAGCTGTTGCAGTGATCTCTCTATGTGTTAACAGGACTCTTAAAGTGAATTTTACTATGTGTTAATTTAAGAATAAAATAGACTCCCACACCCTGCCAAAATTGCTCCTGTGTACTAAATGTAGAACTAAAACACTGAAATAGATAAATGTAGCATAAAAGCATTTAAAATGGGGGAAAAAGGTAATAAAGCAATTCCCTCTAAGTATGTAAATAAACAAAAGATGAAAATAGTCACAAAAGCTAGACGTAGAGCCTGCTGTGGTGGCACATGCCTTTAATATCAGCTATTCAGGAGGCCGAGACAGGAGGATTGCAAGTTGATACCAGTTTGGGCAATGTAGTGAGACCCTCAGCAAACTAGCAAGACTCTGTCTCAAACAATAAAAAGGGCTGCGGATGCGGCCGGGTGGCAGAGGCCCTGTTCAGTTGTTTAGTTTGCTCTAGTTCAACACAGTGGCAGGACCTGTGTGAACCAGGGGTGGTGCTCAGGTGAGAGGCCAGGCAAGAAGTAGGAATCACACCTGGGCCGGGTTTTGGGTTGTCTCTGGGCTTATCAAGATACAGCTACTCAGAGCGTACGTACCCCATAGAGATACAGGAAGTTCATCACAGATCAGGGCCTGGACACCTGTGTGAGCACGCACAAGTCGGCCGCAGTGATAGTGTGTGGCGGAGGGTGGGAGTCAGATGCGGACAGGCGGAGGGTGGAATGGCGTGTAGAATGAGTCCCCCAGAACAAGGCTCCTGAGCCAGAGGACGTGGAGGATTGCTGGGCAAGAATTGCGGGGTGCTCTGCGTGGAGGGAGAAGGGTGTGCGCAGGGCTAAGGGCTGTAGGTGTTGGCCCAGGAGGACAAGCTGGAGGGGCAGAGGGGAGGATGCCAGCAGCAGAGGCCCCAGTGTCAGGGAGAGGGTCTGCGGCCAGCTTGTAAGTGGGAGTTTCTCAAGTTCAGGCCCCAGTGAGAGTCCCATGTGGGGAGCTGTTTACCAGGCAGATGTCCAGGGCTGTGCCCAGGTTGGACGTTGAGACCTGCAGGTGTAGCCGGTGCCAGGGGACTCCTGTGCACGCAGTCAGAAGCTCTGCAGGGAGGAGTGGGGCTGTGGGGAGCTTCCTGCGGGGCATTTGCTGCACAGCTCCCTGGTGGAGACCTCCAGTTTGCGGACTAGCAAAGCCCCCTCAGGTGTCTGTTCACAGAAGCATCACTGTTCTCCAGAAAGAAGTGGAGCCCTCTGTGCGTGTTGCAGGGGGTGGGGTCCAGGCTCTGCTGGGCCTGCTAGGATTTTGTTGGGAAAGAAGGTAAAGGGAAGCAGGTGGTGCACACTTGTGTGATCCCAGCCGCTCGGGAGGCTGAGCGGGGAGGATTGCAAGTTCAAAGCCAACCTCAGCAACTTAGGGAGACCCTGTCTCAAAATAAAAACTAAAAAAGGCTGGAGGTATAGCTGAGTGGTTGAACGCCCCCAGGTTCAATCTTTGGTACCCCCCCGCCGCCAAAAAAAAAGAAAGTGAGATGGGGTCTGCCCTGGGAAGGTGACTTCATGGCTTCCTGGCCCCCTTTTCTAGGAGCAGCAACCGAGTTGGACAGACGACCTGCCACTCTGCCACCTCTCTGGAGTGGGATCAGCCTCCAACCGCATCTACTCTGCTGATGGCAAGGGCACCGAGAGCCACCCTCCGGAGGACAGCTGGCTCAAGTTCAGGTGTGCATGCTGGCCTTGCTTTTGGCGGAGGAAGTTGGTTTGTAAGCAAGAAAAGGCGCCAGTCTTGCCACTGTCTTGTGGGATTTGCTGATGAGATGTGGCCTATAGGAGTGGCCTCTGTTGTGGTCCCTTCCGTGTGTAATTCAAGGCCTGATACAGCTGGGGGAGGGCATCCCAAGAGAGCACAGCTACAGTGACATGATAGCCAAAGTGGGGGGACCCCAGTGGGTACCTGAAGCTGCAGCTGATCTACCTTAGTCTCCCCAGTTCCTTTCCCTCTCCCCCGCTGCCTGTGAGGCCCTGGTCTCAGGCCTCCTGTGCCTTGCTTCCGCCAGGAGTGAGAACAACTGCTTCCTCTATGGGGTCTTCAATGGCTACGATGGCAACCGGGTGACCAACTTTGTTGCCCAGCGGCTGTCCGCAGAGCTCCTGCTCGGCCAGCTCAACGCCGAACACACTGAGGCTGACGTGCGGCGGGTACTGCTGCAGGTACGGGGTGCAGGCTGCTGTGGTACCCTCGCCCACTGTGTGTCCTCCCTGTCCCTCCAGAACTCGGGTTCTGCAACTGTGAAATGTGACAGGATTGTTCTGAAGACTCCTGGCTTCTTCATCCCACCCAGGGTCAGCCCTGGAAGCCCTTCCCAGCGGCAGGGACTCGCTGCTCCCAGGGAGTGTAGGGCCAGGCAGGGAGGAGCCATCCCTCCTGCGACTGGCTGGCCGAGGAGGCAGCTCGGCTGGAGAAGGGGAGCCAGGTTTGTGGGCTCGGGCTGAAGTATGGGTGGGTACAGCCAGGCCTGTAGGTGCTTTAGAGCGACTCCTTTCCTTGGATGTGGTCAGGTGCTCGCCTCTGACTGCAGAGAGTCCTGGGTGGGTGTTCGGGGGCCTGGCCTCCCCACGCTTGCTGGGAGTCTGCCTTTTTTCTTTTAATGTATTTTTAGTTGTATTTTATTTATTTATTTTTATGTGGTGTTAAGGCCAGAGCAGCAGGAGTTAAGGGAACAGTTCCTGATGGGGAGGCTGGTGAGTCCCAGCCCCCCAGGGGGAGTCTGCCTTTCTGCTGCTGCTATGTGGGGAGCCCTCCTGGGGGCTCTTCAAAGCATAGCTGGAGGCCTTTGCCTGAGGTGAGGCTGTCCTCCTGGGCCCTAGGGCTTCTGGGCCAGTGGTTCTCAGCAGGCCCCACACCCCAGGGAAGGTGTCAGTGTCACCAGTGTCCAGGGAGCAGGAGGATTTGCAGAAGCCCTGGGAAAGGCACCCTGCTCCTGCAGAGGTTGTGCCCAGCCCTCCTCTGTGCCGGAGATGTGCCGAGGGCTGGGGAAGCTCATCTCACTTCAGAACCTTGTGGTCCCGTTCTGCAGCTGAGGAGCCCAAGGTGGAGTTCACACCCTGCCAGTCTGATTCTAGGTCTGTGCTCTGGTCCTGCCTCCCTGAGCCTGTCTTGCTGTCCCTTCTACGATGGCTCCCGTGCAGTGTGCCTGTCCCTTGGGCCTAAGTTCTTTGTCAGAGGTGATTTGCAGGAAGCATTGGGTGCCTTGCAGTTTGTGAGACAGGACTGCTGTGTGCAAAGCCCCTGTCACATGACAACGGCGTCATCAGTAGGGACATTTTTGGCGTCAGGTGCAGTGGTGTTTGAGCCAGGCTCTGCCCCCTCTCTGTCCCCACAGGCCTTTGATGTGGTGGAGAGGAGCTTCCTGGAGTCTATCGACGACACCCTGGCTGAGAAGGCCAGCCTCCAGTCCCAGCTGCCAGAGGTACTCTTTCCACGCACCCGAGGAGGTCAGGGCCAGACACCTCCACTGTGTCGCTCGCATGCTGGGCCAGAGCAGCAGGAGCTAAGGGAGCAGATCCTGATGGAGAGGCTGGGGGGTGCCAGGGGTTGTCCTCAAGGGGCCTCCCTGGCCTGCCATGGGCAGTGAAAGGCAGGAGGAGAAGCCTTTCCAGGGCCCAAGGCCTAAATCAGTCCTCAGCCTCATCACTTATCCCTCTTGTCACCCACCAGCACCTGTGGGGCCACCACTGAGCTGGGTCACTGCCACTCCCTGGGGTTCAGCCCAGGCCTCCCTCCTGGTGGTGCCACAGACCATCTGTCCTCCGGGGCTCACATCCTTGCTCCCAAGGGTAGGAGGGGGTTGGTCAGCTGGCCCTCGAGGCCCAGCCCTGCCCTGACTTCTGGTGGTGGGTTGCAGGGCGTCCCTCAGCACCAGTTGCCTCCTCAGTATCAGAAGATCCTTGAGAGGCTCAAGGCGCTGGAGAGGGAGATTTCAGGAGGAGCCATGGCCGTGGTGGCCGTCCTTCTCAACAACAAACTCTACGTCGCCAATGTAGGTGAGCTGCTCACCCATCCAGGCAGGGGGAGGAAGGTTGGCTTCAGGGTCCACACACGTGGATGCTTTGGACGCAGAGTGTCTCAAGGCCATCCCCTGTTTCCTTCTCACTGCCACCGTATGTCGCGTCCCACCTGGAGGTGGGCAGATGCAGGCATGAGATGCCAGCTGTGGGCAGTGAAGGGAAGGAGGAAAGGCCTTTCCAGGGCCCGAGGCCTAAATCCCTCCGGGCTATGGGTTCCTCTCCTCCTCCGCTAAGTCTCTGGTCAGCTGTTCAAATTCTACTGCAGGTACAAATCGGGCACTTCTATGCAAATCTACGGTGGACGGGTTGCAGGTGACCCAACTAAACGTGGACCACACCACAGAGAATGAGGATGAGCTCTTCCGCCTCTCGCAGCTGGGTAAGAGGGGGCGCCCGGCTGAGGGATAAATGGGAGAGGAGACTGGCTCTTGAACTCCCCTGTCCTCCTTTGGTGGCAGGCAGACAGGTGCATAGTGGAAGAGCCACGAGACCCTGGGACCAGCCTGCCTGGGGCTTTGTTCAGCTCTGCTGCTTACTAAGTGGTGATTCGGGGACATATTCAAGCTTTCTCTGCCTCAGATTCCTCATCTTTGTAATGAGAATGGTAGTAACACCTACCCCACGGTGTTGTGAGGGTTAAAAGAGTTAAAATTACATGAAAATGCTCCCTAACGTACCTGGCGCATAGTAGTACTCACTGTTATTGACAGAAACTGAGAAAAGCCAAGGAACCCTGAGATTCCAGCCGCTGCCTAACTTTCCTTCTTTCCCTGAGCTCCTGGCAGATGTGACAGACATGGAGGCCGCTGAGGGCAGCTTGCTGCTCCCAAGGCAGACAGGGCTGTGGTGGGCGGGGCCGCGGTGTGTGGAGGAGGGGCCTGGGCATTCTCATGGGAGTGAGGCTGAGGACAGCAAGGGACCTTAGGTTGCTCTCCAGGGCCCTGACGTCTTCACTTCCTTCTTGGTGGGTCCTCACTCCTCGTCTTCGTGGATCTGTCTCTGTCCCCTTTTCTTGGTGTTTCATGTGCACTGTTCTCCCTCTGGTAGGTTTGGATGCAGGAAAGATCAAGCAAGTGGGGATCATCTGTGGGCAGGAGAGTACCAGGCGCATTGGAGATTATAAAGTCAAGTACGGCTACACTGACATTGACCTGCTCAGGTAGGTGGCCAGCCCAGCTGCCCCCAGTTCTTTGTAAGACTTGAGGGTCTGAGGCAGAAGCAGATTTCAGGCTGCAGGGGTGGGTACAGTTGAACTAGTTCAGAGCACAAGGGTATTCTGTCTTCCTCCCAGAGAGGTTGGTGTAGGGTGGGACCCGAGCCTAGCAGAGTTGGGGTCTGTGAAGCCAGACCGGCGAGGTGTCATAGTAGGGCGCTGGGCCAAAGCCCAAGACAGCGGTAGTGCCTCAGAGCCTGGGGCATGAAGCACCTGGCATGGATGTACCTGGCATGAGGTACCTGGCATGGATAGGGATGGATGGCTGGTGGATGCTGCCTGTGACAGGCAAGGCCAGAGTTGAGATTAGTTATCCATTTCCCTCCAGGGACAGTTCCCTTCTGGGTGTCACCCAGGTCCTCATGGCAACAAATTAGCAGTAGTAGTGATGGCGAGCCCTTGAGTCCACCCTGCACAGCTCCTCAGACATGGACCTCCCACTCAGCAGTGATGTGCATGCTGTCACCACCCCATAGGCATGTTCCTAGGAGGAAACTGAGGTGGCCACCAGTCTCAGGGCTAAGGATGGTTGCTGCGGGCCTGGATCCCAGGCAGTCTGAACTTGGAGCATGTGTCCTCACCTGCCGGCTGACCTTCACGGCTGGGCAGACACGCCTGTGCACTTGTAGGTCACCAGTCACAGCCAGGGCTACAGGGATCCTGCCAGAGACCCCAGCTGCAGGCAGGCCTCGTGGCTTAGTTTCAACTCCTTGTCCACCCAAGGTTTAGGAAAGCAAGTTTAGAACCTTTGTCCCTAGTTTGTGGGGTTCTCTTTGCTTTATTTGAAAGTTAGGTCTTTGGTGGGCTGGGGATGTAGCTCAGTCGGTAGAGTGCTTACCTCGCATGCACAAAGCCCTGGGTTCAACCCCCAGTACCATGGAAGAAAAGAAAAAAAAAGAAAAAAATTAGGTCTGTGGTACCTGGGTGTGGTGACCCCCTGCTACTTGGGATGCTGAGGCAGAAGGATTGCAAGTTCCGGGTCAGGCTCAGAAACTTAACAAAGCTGGGCATGGTGTCACATGCCAGCCACCCAGGAGGCTAAAACAAGAGGATTGCGAGTTGAAAGCTAGCCTCAGCAATAGCGAGGCACTAAGCAACTCAGTGAGACCCTGTCTCTAAATAAAATACAAAAAAGGGCTGGGGATGTAGCTCAGTGGTTGAGTGCCCCTGAGTTCAATCCTTGGTACCCCCCCAAAAAAAAAAACAACAAAATAAACAGTGAGACCCTGTCTAAAAATCCCAGTACCACAGGGCTGGGGTTGTGGCTGAGTGGAGATCACTTGCCTAGCACATGTGAGGCACTGGGTTCAATCCTGAGCACCACATAAAAGTAAATAAAGTAAAGGTATAGTGTCCATGTGCAACTAAAAAAATTTATACTAAAAAAAAAAAAATCCTGGGCTGGAATTGTGGCCCAAAGGTAGGACGCTCGCCTAGCATGTGTGAGGTACTAGGTTCGATCCTCAGCAACACATAAAAATAAAATAAAGATATTATGTCCACTTGTAGCTAAAAAATAAATATTAAAAAAAAAAAAACCAACCCAGTACTACAAAAAGAAGGAAAGTAGTTCTGTGGTTAAGCGCTTTGAACAGGCCTTAGGATGTGTGTGGTGAAAGCCAGCCAGGACCCCCACCCAGAGCCTTCTAGTTTCTCGTGTGTCCTGCCCACAGATGTCTGTGCACGTGTGCATACATGTGCCTCTGCATAAGTTTGTGTTTTGTGGCAACTGAGAAGCAGGCTGCCACAAGTTTGGACATACCTTCCTGGTGTTCTGATCTCACCCTTTATTGAGGTCCGGTTGACACACAAAAGCTGTGTATATTTAATGTATGCAGCTCGGTGAGGTTAGAGCTAAGTTTACACCGACCCCCTGTTTTCACAAAGAATGTGCATCCCTCCTCCCCGCACACCTGCAGTGGAGGTTGCTGGGATTCCCAAAGGATTCTTTACCTGAGTAGCCCCCAACTGACCAACCCTCAGGATACACTAGACTTCTCTCTTCCAAGTATTGTTACCAGGCACATCCTCACGTGCACACACACACAGACACACACTAGAGTTTTTTTTTTACATCTAATGACCCGCACATCAGAAATAGTCCCTATGCCCTTAGTCAGCATGGGAATCTGTTTTGGTGGAGCCCCAGTAATAGCAAGAGGCGCAGGCTTTAAGAGGCAGCCATTCCTAGCCAGCACGGTGGTGCCTGCCTGTAATTCTAGTGGCTCAGGAGACTGAGACATGAGGATCACAAGTTCAAAGCCAGTCTCAGCAACTTAGCAAGGCCCTAAGCAATTTAGTGAAACTATCTCAAAAGGGCGGGGATGTGGCTCGTGGTTAAGTGCCCGTGGGGTCAATCACTGGTATAAAAGAGAACACACAAGTGTGCACATGCTACCTCTTGCTGCTCTGCCCTGCAGCCTGCCAGGGCTGAGCTCTTGGGGGTAGGAGGATGGAGCAGGGCCAGAAGCCAGCACTGGGCCTTTGCTGTCTTGACCCCCAGCCTGCCAGTTTTTCTTGCCCTCTGAGCTTTATTCTAGCAACTCACTTTCTCTTGCCTCTCTTTCTTTTCCTCTCACCAACTCATGCGTTTTATTTTACACTCTGGGTGTAGATTCTTCCCTCAGCAGACTCAACATTCACCTGGAGACCTTTCCACACAAAGTCCTCCCTCCACTCTCTCCCCATAGTGCTGCCAAGTCCAAACCCATCATCGCAGAGCCAGAAATCCATGGTGCACAGCCTCTGGACGGGGTGACCGGCTTCCTGGTCCTGATGTCTGAGGGGCTGTACAAGGCCCTGGAGGCTGCCCATGGGCCTGGCCAAGCCAACCAGGTGAGCTGGTCGGGACAGAGCTGGCAACCACGGGGCATGACTGGCTGGCCTGCAGGGTGGGTGCTCCCCTGGCAGCCCAGAGCACTGATCCCCAGATGCCATCACCAGACACCTTTTCTGAGTGCAGAGCTGAGGGAAGGGACAGCCCAGAGCTTGGGCTGGGGATGTGGTAGAGCACTTGCCTAGCACGCGTGGGGCCCTGGGTTCCGTCCTCAGCACCACCAAAAAGAAAGGCCCATAGCTCTGAAAACACCTGTCCCTCCCAAAGCTCTGTTCCTGGGTGAGCAGCAGTATCAGCGCCCAGGGCCCTCAGGCCTGAGGGCAGAGGGCAAGAGGGCAGTGAGTTCCCCCTGGCAGCCTTGCTCTGGGGTGCTGGACAGAGGCCTGGGCCCAGGAGGGCAGTGGGTCAGGCTTGTTCCCCTTTCCAGGAGGGGTTCTCTGGGGCTTCAGTTCCTGGTCAGAACACCAGAGTGTCCTCCCTCCTGTAGTGAATGGGGAGGGTGACATCTCCCTTGGAGGGACCCTGGTGAGGTCAGGCGTGGGAAGATGGAGTGGTTTATTTCTTCTGCACCGTGGCAGGAAGTGGGACTTGCAGGCAGGTGTTCAGGAGGAGGCCGCCCTCGCCTAGCCTTGGGTTGTGTTTGGTGTCTTCCTCCATCAGCAGTGGGTATGATGGGAGGCTCACCTTTTCTGCCTCATCCTTTTTCACTAAAAGGAAGAAGTCTTAAGTGCCTGACTATCCCTGATCCCTGTGCTCAAGGTTTTCCCACCATTTTATCTTATTATTCATCCCAGCAGCCTCCTAACAAGAGGGGCCGGTGGCTTACTTAGTTCTATTCAGGATCTTCCCTGAGGTGACACCGCTGATGGCAGTGGAGCTGGGTTCCTCAGGTCCAGGTCCAGGTCCAGGTCCAGGTCAAGGACATTGCCCTTAATTGCCCTCCCTTCCTGCCTCCAAGAAGCTGGAGCCAAAGACTGGGTGCAGTAGTGATGCCTGTTATCCAGCAACTCAGGAGGCTGAGGCAGGAGGATTACACTTCAAGACCAGCCTCAGCAACTTTGTGAGACCCTGTTTCAAAAAGTAATAATGACTGTGTACAGAGCTCCGTGATAGAGCACCCTTGGCCCAGTAATGGGGGAGCAGGCTATAGCCAGCCCTCGTGTAGAGGATTTTGTGCTTCTAATTTTTTATTTTTTGGTACTGGGGACTGAATCAGTACTAGCTCTACCACTGAGCCATATCCTCAGCCCTTTTTATTGTTTATTTTGAGGGCCTTACTAAAACTGGCCTTGAATTTATAACCCTCCTGCCTCAGCCTCCTGAGTAAAATGGGATTAGATCCATTTTTGATGTTTTCATCAGTGTGGTTTTCTTTTTCTTTCATTTTTTTTGTCTAATCAATAGAATTTTCCAGTGGCTTCTACTGGGTTCTAGATTATGCTGGACAGGGGATTTATCTGAAGGCAAGAACAGTGTCTTTGTTCCACATCCCTAATTGCTAATAAAATGCCTGATCTGGTGCATCATAGCCTACATGAAGTCTTTCCAGAAGGAATTCCTTACTGATGTGCATCTACACTGGGCCCCGTGGTAGTGTGCAGAGTGCTATCACGTCCATGTTATGTAACCCTCATAATGACCGGCAAGGTGGATATTACCCATTTAAACAATCAGAGAGGTCACAAGGTCACACATTTTTTCTAATGAGAAAGTTCTTAATACTCTTAATACTCTGGTTTCTCTTTGGATCATATAAATCTTTTGCCTTTTGCTAATGAGAAAGTTCCAGAAGGATTATCCTGAATGCCTTGACAAGCCCAGATTATTGGCTTGGCTAATGGGGTACTTCCTCCACCTGCTGGTCTGGTAAAACCTAAGTCTCTCAAAGAAGGCTCTGGAGTGACCACCCCCAGTCCCTTGGCCACCCCTCATTCCTCACCAGGTTCATTGCCCTGTCCCCAGGAGATTGCTGCAATGATTGACACTGAGTTCGCCAAGCAGACCTCCCTGGACGCAGTGGCCCAGGCTGTGGTGGACCGGGTGAAGCGCATCCATGGTGACACCTTCGCCAGTGGTGGGGAGCGTGCCAAGTTCTGCCCACGGCACGAGGACATGACCCTGCTGGTGAGGAACTTTGGCTACCCGCTGGGTGAAATGAGCCAGCCCACACCAACCCAGGCCCCAGGTATGTGTACCTTATAGAGAGGCTGTAGGTGGGTGCAGAGCCGCTGAGCCTTGGACTCGCACCTGGAGTGCAGGTGGAGCTAGGAGGTTTGGGTTGCAGTTCTAACCCAGCCCCTGACCTCCAGCCTCTGAGCTGCCCCTTGTTGTTTCGTTTTGTTTTATTTATTTATTTTTTTGGTACCAGGGATTGAACCTGGGATGCTTAACCAAGAGCCACATCCTCAGCTCTTTTTTTTTAATATTTTTTAGTTGTTGATGAACTTTTATTTTATTTATTTGTATGTGGTGCTAAGAATCAAACCCAGTGCCTCACACATGTTAGGCAAGCGCGTTACCACTGAGCCACAACCCCAGCCCCCTCAGCTATTTTTTATATTTTATTAAAGGCAGGATCTCACTGAGTTGATTAGGGTCTTGCTGCTAAGGCCGGCTTTGAACTCGTAATCCTCCTACGTCAGCCTCCCAAGCTGCTGGGATTACAGGCCTGCGCCTTTACACCTGGTTGCCCCTTTATTCCTTCTGTATGTGAAATGAGGGTAGCACCATCTGCCCTGTCCTCCTGCAGACCTAAGGGGTGAACAGGTGGTGTGCAGGGTCACAGAGGCACATGAAGGTGATAGCACCCCTGGCGAGGCCAGATCCTGACCTGCATTGCTTGCTGTAGTCCCTGTGAGCAACCGTAAGGACAGGAAGAGGAAACAGTTTCAGAGCAAAGGGACCTGGGTAAGATTAGGTACTGGACAGATGGTCAGGCCGCAGCATCTGGCTCTGTCTCTGGCCTTGTTGGACAGGGGAGACGTGTTACTTTCTTCCTTTTTCCTTTTAATTCTTAAATCATAAGCGCAGAGGTGGTCGTGCCTTGGGGTGTCCCTCCCAAGGCATCACTGGGCTCCTCAGGGCTGACTTCCTTTTCTTTTTTCAACAAGGAAACCTTGGAGCCCAGGCATCGCTGATGCTTTGTGCCCCTGGGCTTGCTGGAGTTTCTCAGGCTCACTGTTCCTGCAGCCATGTTTGCATTGGGTCGAGATCCACTAGGAGCAGACCATCCTTGGATCATCCACGGGAAGCCGGGCCCTTGATTCCATTGAGCACCAGTGGCTTCCCTGGTGGAGGGAGGTCCCAGCCTGTCTGGAAGAGTCTCTGCCAAGGGACACTCCTGGGCTGCCCCAAGGGGCAAGGACTGCGCCAGGGCTTGAAGGGTTTCAGCCCCCAGGTGCTCCTCAGGCCCCAGAGTAGCCCTACCCCTCCTCCTGATCTGGTGCCCAATGCTCTCTTCCCCCTACAGCTGCAGGGGGCCGCGTGTACCCCGTGTCCGTGCCCTACTCGAGTGCCCAGAGCACCAGCAAGACTAGCGTGACCCTCTCCCTCGTCATGCCCTCCCAGGGCCAGATGGTCAACGGGGCCCACAGTGCTTCCACCCTGGACGAAGCCACTCCCACGCTCACCAAGTAAGCCCTCGTGCCCCAGGGAGAGAACACAGGCAAGCCCTGGGGCCCTGGCTGAGGGAGATCTCCTTAGAGCCCAGGGCAGGAAGAGGTGGCACTGTTGGTCCAGCAGCTGGATGAAGCTGGACCTGGGGGGGGGGACTGCAGGGGGACTGCCAGGGAGCGGGGCTGCTGAAGGTGCCAGCCCGCTGCTCTGCCTGCTGGGGCCTGTGTTCTGGCTTTTGTTCACCGGGACATGCTGTCATTCTTCTCCCTGTGGCCTGGCCTGGCACGGCTGCTGCTCTCAACTGTGATGCCCAGAGTCCAGCTTCTGAGGGGGCTGTCTAGATTAAGAGGGGTGCATGGAGGCCGCAGCCTGGGTGGGATCCCGGGGGCACCTCCGTGCAGAGCTGCCTGACAGGCCTGGTGTCCACCACCCACACACCCCCCACCCCAGGAAGGGGGGAACACAAATCTGGTTTCCACATTCCAGCACCGAATAATAGAGATGCCACACCCAGCCCGTCCCAGGGTGGCTGACAGGATGTGGCCAATTACAAGTGGCTGAAAGGAGGGAGTGGCCTGTTTTCCTCCACTCTGCAGGGGTCCTTCCTTCCCTTGCCTCCCCCCCTGCTGTCCTTGCTGTGGCCGCCCCTTGCGGGTGGGAGCCTGCCAGGCAGCCAAGCTCCACCTCCAGCACAGGGTCAGGGTGGCCGATCCATCACCCCTGTGGGGCTGCCCCAGGAAGCCACCAGCTGTGTCCACAAGGCAGAGCCTGATGGCCGTGGACTGTCCCAGATAAGACAGGACACTCAGCATCCTCTGCCTCTGGCCTCCTGGGCTGGGTGTCCTGGGCATTGACAGGTCAGCGGCTAACAGATAGTTCTGTGTAAGAGAAGGTGGATGTCCAGGGCCTTGGAGAGCATGGGCACCTGTCCCTGTGTGGCCAGGGAAGGAGCAGGGGGAGGGGAGTGGAGGCAGGTGTCTGGAAGGGACTGGCTGCCTGCGCTCAGTGGGCCGAGGGTGGGGTGCGGTGGAGGCGTGGCCAGGCAGACTGGGAGGCTAGCAGGGGTGTGTGTCTGCCTGTCCCACAGGAGCCACTCACCAGGAGTGGCTGCTTCTACACTGGAACCGGGTGTTCTGTTCGGCCTGAGTTGATTTAAACAGCCACATGCGGCCAGTCCTTAAGACACATGTCTGACATTTTATCTGTCCTTCTGCGGCCACTTTTGCCAGAGATTCCTGTGGCCCAAGGGCCTGGTGAGTCAGGGAATGCTCTGTCCCCAGGCCGGGGACCAAGGCCCCCTGACCCAGCCATCCCAGAGTGGCTCTCCCCTCTTGTCCCTGCAGCCAGAGCCCGACGCTGACCCTGCAGTCCACCGACACGCGCACCCAGAGCAGCAGCTCCAGCTCTGATGGCGGCCTCTTCCGCTCCCGGCCCGCCCACTCGCTCCCGCCTGGGGAGGACGGCCGTGTGGAGCCCTACGTGGACTTCGCTGAATTTTATCGCCTTTGGAGCGTGGACCACGGCGAGCAGAGCGTGATGACGGCGCCGTAGCCTGGCCGGCGAGTGTAGCCCAGTGGACCTCGAGTGAGGCCAGGAGCCAGCTCTGGTTCAGCCTTTCCTGACTGCCTGTGCCCAGGAGCAGGGGCACTCCCGTCCTCGGCCTGCACCGGCCTCTGCCCCGTGGCTCTTGGGCTGTAGAGCTGCAGGTGCAGACTGTGCTGCTTGTCCACGCCTTGTCACCTCGCGGGAGGCTGGAGGCCACTCCTGGCCGCAGCCTCAGCCAGGACATTGCTGTTCCTCAGAGCAAGGGCCCAAGTGTGGAAGCTGCAGCTGGCCTGTAGGCCACCGGGAATTCCTTCAGCCCTGCAGCAGCGTGGGAAGAGGCTGTCCTGTGGGCCCCGAGTGCCACCATCTCCTGTAAAATAACCTGGGCCACTGCTAGCGCCCCTCCACTCCCAGGAGGTGGTTTCCCCTCTCCAGCTTCTCAGCCTCGTGCTCCCATGGCCACAGGGACGAGGTCAGACAGAGAGGCCCCGAGAGAACTGGCCTAAGAGAAGCCCCGGAGCTGCCAGAGGGGCGTGCACTGGGCAGCTGGGCCTTCCCAAGAGGGTGCGGGAGAGGTGAGGCCGAGCCCCACTGAGCTGTGAAGAGGCAGGGGAGGCCCAAGTCAGTGAGCCAGTTCCACCCTGCATCCTCCCTACTGGTGCTAGGGAGGCCACGTTAGGAACAGATGAGGTGCGCGGCCTTTACACTGAGGACGATTCTGGAGGTCTCTGGTTGACACACTGCCTGTGGGTCAGGCTGAGGGGCGTGGTCAAAAGAGAAAAGAGCAAAAACTGGTTCCACGAGGGAAGAGGTGCCTCAAGGCCTTGAAGGGGAAGGTCTGGGCTGGCCAGGCCTGGGCTGCACCTCTTCACACAGTCTGTCTCCACTGGAGGGACACCGCCAGGGCTGCCAGACAGGGTTGCCATTCCCATTTTCAGAGGAGGAAACAGAGACTTGCTCCTGGCCAATGTCACACCATCGATGGCAGAGCTGGAGCTCAGGCCTGTGGCTTCTTTAGAGTCTGCAACCCATGATGTCCCTCTGGCCAGGGACCTGCCTGAACAGCCCCAGTGTGCTTATTCTCTGCAGTGTGGAGGCCGGCCCCAGGGTCCTCTGCCCACTCCATGATCCCAAAGTCCATTTCTGCAGCAGAACTGAGGCCACTGCAGTGCCAGGGACAGGCCGAGTCTCCTGGGAAAGCAGAGGAAAGGCCCCTGTGAAGCCACCCATTGCTCTCCTGCAGGGAGCAGGTTAAACCGTCACAAAGGCTCTGGAACAAAGGGAATTCTCCCAGGAATGTCTCTGTCGCTGTTTGGTCTCTAGCAATAGAGTCCTGTTTCTAATGCAGTAAAGTCACACACGGTGGCGTCACATGGTGCAGTGTTCGTGCTGGCACTTCTGTCCCACATGACTCTCTCCCTGGGAGGTAGCTGCCTCCTGTCCTGCCCAGGATGCTAAGGACCATGCTAGCCAGGCCGGTAAGGGCAGAGATGGGGTGGAGCCAGGGGTCCTGACTACATCTGTGCCCATCGTCCCCAGGGGAGCATAGGCGCTGTCTGTCAGGCGCTCATAGCCACACCGTTGCCAGGCGGCAGGGCCCCAGCCGTGCCAGGGGCTCCCCTGTGGTGCTCTCCTCACTCCCTGAGAGAGTGGAAGCCCGGGGCCTCTGTGTGTGGGAGTGGTGCTGTGCCTGCCCAGGGCTCAGGTCACCAGGGGAGGGGCCTCGCCCTCTGGCTGGTTTGCTTTACTTGGCTTTGTTTGGTAAAGGATATCCTGTGAGCACCAGGCCCCAGCGGGCCTCCTGCGCCCTGGGACAGACTCTTCCCTCTGGAAGCGTAGGCCTGGCAGGCTGAGTGCTGCTTTGGTCCAGAGCTGGGTGTGGTCAGAGAGTCCCGCACACCTGCCTCGCTGTCGGGCCTTTCCAGGGTCTCTTCCTCCCTCAGCACCCAGCCGTGCCCTGGTGTCTGATGACCACAGGGCCCTGCACACTCCTGCAGCCATGGTGTCCCTCCGGCCACCCTTGGGGAGGTGGTGAGAGCACTGCTCTCTGGTGAGCGACAGGTGCAGGAGGCTTGGGCTGGCCAGGCCTGGGCTGCACCGCTTCACACGGTCTCCGTCTCCACTGGAGGGACACCGCCAGGGCTGCCGGCAGGCTGGCCATTCCCATTCTCAGAGGAGGAAACAGGCCACATCCAACCCGAAGGCCCTGGGCACACCCTATTGGCCTTGTCTCCGTCCCTTGCTTTGGTGTCATTTAGCTCTGTGTGAGCCCTCCTGAGGGCAAATGGAAGGACACCACTGGAGGCCGGGTCCCCTTGGCTGATGGTGAGTGAGACCGTGGGACTGAGGGAAGAGCCAGAGGTCAGGACTGGGAGAACGTCCGACGGCCAGGCAGAGCTGTGCCGTGGCCAGGTCACTGGTGAGCCTCTTCTCCAGGTGTCCAACAGGTGGCAGGCGGCTGGCCCTGGGCCCAGGGTCTTAGGGCTGACCCCTCCCACAGCTCCAGGGGGAGACCCTCGTTCCCTGAGGCAGGTGAGAGCCGGGAAGCCCACTGCCAGCCCCATCCCTTGACAGCAGCCTGGGGCTCCACTGGGGCCCTGGACTGGACCAGCCAAAGAGCAAGGCCCCCAGAGCCACTGCACGGCCCAGCTGAGACAAGAGGGCACTGAGGGAGGCCCACAGCACCTGGGCCACCACTGGTTGCTGTGGCTTCCAGGCCTGGCCCTGGCCTCTGACTGTCCTGAGCTGGTCGTCCACCAGGCTGCAGCGCAGGTTCCCAAGACACCCCTGCTGATGGGGCACCTCCATGGGTGGCTGTGGGAGGGGACAGGAGCAGGGACTCTGCTGCCCTGAGTCACGGGGGAAGGCACAGGTGCTTTCTTCATGCTGCCCCCTTCTCACTCCCTCCTGTGGGAGGCCACCCGTCCACTCTGCTCAGTTTTCCTAGAAATTCTCGAATGTCACTTGCTCCTTTATCTGTGTCATCTCCCTTGTCCACTGTTATCCATTTTGTGGGGACAGCGACTTTGTGACCTTTACTCCACTGGGTCCAGCCCTAAGGCCCCTAGTGGGCCCTCTTACAAGTGCTGAGGGACTCAGTGGACGAGTGAGTGGGGGGAGGACTCGTCCTGTGACCTGGGCCAGGGGCTCGCACTGAGCCTTGGTCTTCCCCTCTGTGAAGATAGGACCTGCTTGTTGAGATTGTCCAGTGGTCCCAGGCGGTCCCCTCCCTACCTGTGCCCTCCCGCCCGCATGGAGCCTGGTCCAGGACACGTCCCTAGAGGAACACCACCCACAGGCACAGGCACATGCTCAAACCTGGTGGCGGGGAGGCAGCAGGCTTGATGCCCCTGTGGCTGCTGGGACCCAGGGGCTGGGTGTGGCTGTGGTTCTTGCCTCCTCTCAGCCGCAGACAGAGGCTGTGGCCAGGCCCCCTACTCCCCCTGAGGAGTCTTTGGGGGACCTCCTGAAACCTGGGAGAACTCCAGTCACTGCCACTCCTGGTGGGCTCAGCGCAAGCACACTCTGTTCCCACTCAAAGGTGACACCAGCCCGGAGCAGACCAATGCTGGACATTTCCACGAGACTGGGTGGCCTCATGAGGACAGACCGCCTGGCAGCCAGCCTTGAGCAGTGTTGACCCCAGCGCCTGGACCCCATAACTGCCTTTGGAGACCCCACAAGTGTCGGAGGACCCTGGACTGTGGTCGTTGCCAGATGCAGCCCTCTTGCCTTGTTCTCGGGTCACCAAGAGGCGGGGGTAGGGCAGAGGCGGGCCTTCAGCGCTGTGGCTGGTTTCCACGCGCACCAGGATGAAGGTCCTGCACTGTGGCCTCGCAGAGCCATCCCAGGGCCCACTTCTGAGCTCAGGCACCTCCGTGGCCCCAGCCTCTACCTCCAGCACCTGCTTTGCCGCTGGTCCTCCCCAGCCCCAGGGCAACCACGGACAGGTGGTGAGCCACAGAGCAGGGCTCCAGTGTGTGGCTACAGGAAGGTCTTCACCCCAGGCCCCAGGGTTTGGGGGTCAGTAATATTAAAATTCTCTCTCTTTAAAAAAAAAAAAGTTAGATGTGTCCTCATTTTGTTATGTGTGGGGGGTGCCGGGAATTGGACCCCTAGGCAAGCACTCCCCTAGAGCTATGTCCCCAGCCCTTGTCGTTCATTCTGTAATTAAATTCATACTATCCCTGTGTTAATTTTATTTTTTTATGTAAGAAGGATATTTAATAAGAATAGAAAAACAAAGTAAATTTTTGCCTTTCTATTTATTTACCTTTTTTTTTTAATGCAGCAGAGTGCATTTCTGTTGCACACAAATGGAGCACACCATTTCAATTCTCTGTACACGGTGTAGAGACGCACTATTCATGCAATCATACCTGTACTTAGGGTAATGATGTCCATTTCATTCCACCATCTTTACTGTCCTCAGAACCCCTCCCCATCCTTCCCTGTGTTAATTTTTTTCTTTTTCTTTTTCTTTTTTTTTTTTTTTGGTACCAGGGATTGGACTCAGGGGCACTCAACCACTGACCCACACCCCCAGCCCTGTATTTTATTTAGAGACAGGTCTCGCTGAGTTGCTTAGGGCCTTGCTTTTGCTGAGGCTGGCTTTGAACTAGCGATCCTCCTGTCTCAGCCTTCCAAGCCACTGGGATTACAGGTATATGCCACCACGTTCCCAGTTCCCTGCGTTAAATTTTTTTTTTTTTTGGTTTAAAGTAGGGATAGGAATTATTTCATTTATTTAATTGACAAAAGTTATACATATATGTGTTTGTGTACCTTAATATTTTGATACATGTATACATATAGGAATACTAAGTCAAGCTAACTAATGTTTATTAGCTCACACACCTATCATTTTTGTATGTCAGGTCCTGTGTTAATTTTAATACAAAAATAGCATCACTTTTTTTTTTTCAAAAATGATATTTCAAATTACTCATTATCAAAGTAAATCAGTGCATCAGAAAAAAAACATGTTAATCATACAGGTTTGAAGACCCATGTGGTCTGGCCGAGGGGTCCAGGTGATCCTAATTAGAGACTGACTGTTTCGTGTGGCCGTGTCCCCTGGGTGCTCACAGTGCCTTAAGTAGGGCCTCAGATAGGGGTGTGAGCTTAGCAGGGGGTGTGGGTCTGGGCAGGTGCGGGGGCCAGGCAGTGGAGTGTGGGAAGGGGTTGCCATCGCCAGTCTTGTCCAGTCCTGGCCAGGAGCTCAGGCCCCTTGGACTGAGCCCAGAGAGCGACATGTACACCAGCAGTTCTGTGACCTTGGGGGCAGGGGCGGCTGGAGTCCACTGGCAGAGAAAGACACTGGCCAAGCAGCAGGCCCCAGACCTCACTCAAGACAGCTGGGCCACCCTTCAGGCCTGGGACTGGCCTGGACACTGGGCAGCTGTGCCTTTGCTGACACTCCCTGACAGGGCTACTCACCTGCAGGCCACAGCTCGATGACACCTCCCTCCCCAGGGCATCCCTGCTCCCAGTCTTTCCTTGAATCCCAAAGGCCCAGGGCATCCGGGACAGTTCCCGGACTCAGTCCACAGTGTGACCCTGAGGCTCCTGCTGAGACCCACGTGTGGTTCATCTGTAGGTCCCAGCACCCTGTACAGGGCAGCATCTGGGCATTGAGTGGGACTGGAAGGGCCACTACTGTTCTGCGGAAGGGACCACTCTACCTGCAGATTCCGGGAGCTCAAGACGGTGGGTGGCCCTGGGCATGGGCATGGGTGTACTTGGGCTTCCATGGACCTCTTCTGCAAAACAACTTAAAATTGTATTTTCTGACTATGTTGGTATCACGCATATATATATTGGTCCTGGGGATTGAATCCAGGGGTTCTGCCCCTGAGCTACTTCCTCAGCCCGTTTAAGTTTTACTCTCTCCAAGTTACCCAGGCCTCGAACTTGCAGTCCTCTGCCTCGGCCTCCACAGTTGCTGGGATTGAGGGTGTGTGCCACTGCATCCAACTAAAATTCTTCTTTGAACTAAAAGTTTTGGGGTTTTTTTCTGACGCAAAGAAAGTGAAACATTCTCATAGGCCCCTAAAAGCATAGAGACCCAAGGCTCTGTGCCCCCTGCACCCAGTCAGGAAGACAGCTCTGTCACACGGACCTGCAGGGCCTAAGTCCTCAGTGGGGTGGCCTGGGGGAGGCCTCCGTCCCAGCCTTCCTGAACCTGAGACCACTGGGGTCGAGAACTAGGAATGGGGTCTGGAAAAGTTTTAAGAACAGGCCAAAAGAGACTGGAGAGGGAGGCAAGGGAGGTGCCCACAGGGGCCCTGGGTGACCTCCCAGGGTTTGCAGGCTCTGTCCTCCACGGTGCCCGCCCCTCTGTTCTGCAGCCCAAAGCACAAGACGGGGGCTG